GATGTGGATTCGCATATGAAATCAATTGTGTTCGCATCTATGAAATCAGTTCGCATATGACATCAATTGAGTTCGCATTTGGTTTTGTGGGTCAAAACAGTTCGCATAAGAAGTTCACGATTTGTTTGAGGTTAATTGATTTTGATTTCGCAAGCTTGGAGTCGGAGATCTGGATTGTGTTCGCATCTATGGAATGCGAGGAGAATTTAATGGTGATATTCAGTTCGCATTTGGTGACACAAGTACGTGGTTGATGATTTTTGGTTGGTTCGCATTTGAAATCAGTGGGTTTCGCATTTGGCTTCGTATCTGGGTTTCTCAAACAACTGAAATGCGAATATGAGACAACTGATTAATTTCTCAGTTAATGTGATGAAATGCGAATGAACTCAAAGACGGATGGATGCAAGATGCGAAGAATTTGAATGAAAATGCGAAGTTTTTAATGTATAAATGCGAATTGGGGAAGAAAGCTTAGAGTTTCGCATTTGGCACCTGATCTTTTCAAGAAATAATATAAGTGGTCCAACTTCGCAAAATGGGGTCATTTAATCAGAAAATCGATCATTCTTCAAATATGACATTTAATCAGAAAATCGATCTAAAAATGAGACATTTGGTGTTTATCGATTTTTCAGGGTCGACGGGTTGTATGAAAAGCGAAGGCTGAGTAATTGAAAATTAGAGGATCGATGGTTGCTACTAATTGCTTGCAACTGGTATTGGTTTCATATCGATGGATGTGGATTCGCATATGAAATCAATTGTGTTCGCATCTATGAAATCAGTTCGCATATGACATCAATTGAGTTCGCATTTGGTTTTGTGGGTCAAAACAGTTCGCATAAGAAGTTCACGATTTGTTTGAGGTTAATTGATTTTGATTTCGCAAGCTTGGAGTCGGAGATCTGGATTGTGTTCGCATCTATGGAATGCGAGGAGAATTTAATGGTGATATTCAGTTCGCATTTGGTGACACAAGTACGTGGTTGATGATTTTTGGTTGGTTCGCATTTGAAATCAGTGGGTTTCGCATTTGGGTTCGTATCTGGGTTTCTCAAACAACTGAAATGCGAATATGAGACAACTGATTAATTTCTCAGTTAATGCGATGAAATGCGAATGAACTCAAAGACGGATGGATGCAAGATGCGAAGAATTTGAATGAAAATGCGAAGTTTTTAATGTATAAATGCGAATTGGGGAAGAAAGCTTAGAGTTTCGCATTTGGCACCTGATCTTTTCAAGAAATAATATAAGTGGTCCAACTTCGCAAAATGGGGTCATTTAATCAGAAAATCGATCATTCTTCAAATATGACATTTAATCAGAAAATCGATCTAAAAATGAGACATTTGGTGTTTATCGATTTTTCAGGGTCGACGGGTTGTATGAAAAGCGAAGGCTGAGTAATTGAAAATTAGAGGATCGATGGTTGTTGCTACTAATTGCTTGTAACTGGTATTGGTTTCATATCGATGGATGTGGATTCGCATATGAAATCAATTGTGTTCGCATCTATGAAATCAGTTCGCATATGACATCAATTGAGTTCGCATTTGGTTTTGTGGGTCAAAACAGTTCGCATAAGAAGTTCACGATTTGTTTGAGGTTAATTGATTTTGATTTCGCAAGCTTGGAGTCGGAGATCTGGATTGTGTTCGCATCTATGGAATGCGAGGAGAATTTAATGGTGATATTCAGTTCGCATTTGGTGACACAAGTACGTGGTTGATGATTTTTGTTGGTTCGCATTTGAAATCAGTGGGTTTCGCATTTGGGTTCGTATCTGGGTTTCTCAAACAACTGAAATGCGAATATGAGACAACTGATTAATTTCTCAGTTAATGCGATGAAATGCGAATGAACTCAAAGACGGATGGATGCAAGATGCGAAGAATTTGAATGAAAATGCGAAGTTTTTAATGTATAAATGCGAATTGGGGAAGAAAGCTTAGAGTTTCGCATTTGGCACCTGATCTTTTCAAGAAATAATATAAGTGGTCCAACTTCGCAAAATGGGGTCATAAAAAGACAAAAGTGCAGAATTTTCATTTCGCATCCCTGTAGTCTTCGCAAAATGGAAAATTTTACCCAGTTTCGCATTTGGGGTAAATTTTTTTGAGAAATTGGAATATTTTCAAACTTTTTTTCTTAAAAAAAACACATTGTCTTCGTCTAAGAGAGGGAGAAAAACGATTAGGGTTTATAAGGGAAATACTTCATGGCAGTGGGATTTATAGCAGGGTTTATAAGGTGGAGAGAACAAACACACGTCTGCTATGAGATATTTTAATCAGCTGCAAATGCAACATTTAAAGGATATTTGTTGAAGCGTATTAGGATGAAAAGGTTTTAAATTTTGAATGACCATGAAATTAGGATTTTGCTGAGAAATATAAGGAATCAAAACAAATTTAAAATTTAATATTATTTTATTAATGGTTGTTTGTAATATTAGCTTAATCGTTTGTACGTCTTAAAAAAATAATATTATTATATTCAATCTATTTATAGAAATAGTTAGATTTCTTTTATAAGTAGTAAAGATATATATATATATATATATATATATATATATATATATATATATATATATATATATATATATATATATATAGGGATAGAGAATATACATTATAGTCCCACCTAAGCTTAGGTACTAAACCTCTAAAATATATCGTTTTAACATGCTAAATATACCCGGTTTGATTTCACTTGGTAAATATATCATTCTACATAACATTCCTTTCTTTCATTATCGTTTTATCATCTCCGTTTTCTTTTCTCAATTATCGTTTATTACTTAATCCAAATGAACATTATTAAACCCTAAACCTAAACCTAAACCCTAAATTTAAACCCTAAACACTAAAGCTAAACCCTAAACCCTAAACCCTAAACATAAACCTAAACCCTAAACCCTAAACCCCAAACTCTAAACCCTAAACCCTATTGTATCGATCTTGAATTTACATCTTGAAATATTAATCGTGAATCCATTAACGGTAATCTTTATATAGTAAAACAATGTTTATTCAAGAGGTTTAATACCTAAGCTTAGGTGGGGCTGTAATGTATATTCCCTTTTCCCATATATATATATATATATATATATATATATATATATATATATATATATATAATACACACTAACAGTGGAGTCAATGGACCGAAGGCGATGACGTCGAGCCAGGGAACAAAGGTAGAAATATCGAGTCCTCAAGGAATGCTCGTTTATTGATGTGTTCTTAAACTAGAATGTATTGTACGAAAGTGTTTGTTTATCTGTGATTTATGTTAGATTATTACTTGATGGCATGATAGATGTACATGTATGGTAGGAGTAAGATATACTGCTTTGATGTGATCTTGTGTTGGAATTCACTAAGTTTCGTGTTTACCCTTTCCCTTTTAAACAACTGTTTCAAGAGTTGTAGATACGAGTAAGGGAAAAAGCAAGGTCCGACTGAACACATGGCACGATCGAAAGATTTTGATCTTTGTCTTAAACATTAAGTTTTGGGTTTTTATTGGATGTTGATTTTGGTTTGTAAACCAAATAGATGTTTACAGACGTTGTGTTAGTATTTTAAACTTAACGAATTTGATTAGGTAACAGACTAAATGAAAATTTATATTAAATTACATACGTTTTTAAAATTTTAAATTTATAGTTAATTATAGGACGTCACATGGAGATGGTTTTAAAGCATATATATATATATATATATATATTATATATATATATATATAGGTGTGTGACTAGAGTTTTTGCAAGAGAAAGGGGCTAGAAATGCGACTATAGACAAAGGAATAAAAATGCAATGATGGGCGGTTTATGATAGTTTTTGTTGGTCCATTTTAATTACATATAATAATAAGAGTAATTTACAAAAATGTTTCCTATCCTTAGATCTGATTCCTATGTTCCCTTTCTAATATCTTTTATCTTTTCTTTTGTTCGTATATAAATTCTAATTCTAATAGTAATATAATATAGAAAATGGAGCACATTAGACCATCTACATCCGTCTTACTTTCAGACTCCTTGCAAATGAAGCTTGAAAGTCCACGTAGTATCTCCTATTGCTATACTTGAAAGCCTTGCAAAGGCTCTAGTTGGTCCCATATTATATATATATATATATATATATATATATATATATATATATATATATATATATATATATATATATATATATATATATATATATAAAGTAATTGTTGATGTGGTAGTGGAGACCATTTTTAAAAGATGAGTGTTGTTACGGTGATGTGAATAGTTATTGCAAAGCTGATATGACACAATTGAAAAATTAATGACATTACTTTGATGTGGATGACCTTACCTCATCCTACCCAAACCCATACTCATGTTCATCATTTTTATTTCCAAAACCCTTTCCTAATAGTTGCTCACAATGCTTACAACCCTATTATCCAGGTCGGATAATTGGGTCGTGACCCCTCTTCAATAGGATAATGTTGTCATCCATCTTCCCCAATAACTAATTTCCAAGTAGATTATGTCTCATTCTCATGTTAGTTTTCTTTGTAAGCCCGTTAAAACATATGTTAAGGTACTCTGTCAATCTAGTAATAATCTCCCCTTCCAAAACAAACCTTCAAAAGTTTCTCAGCCGTATATATCAAGAACTGATTAAGAAATAGTCACATAGGAATCTACATCAGGGATAATGCAATAAATATATTTAAAAAAATCCTTTACCGTAATAAAATAAATATCTTCCTCTCAGATCCTAGGTTGTATGGTCCTTTCAATGTTTATGAAATGGCCAACATATTGGAACATTTTCTGGTAGACACTATCCATACTTAGGTTTTTGTATGTAATTAACCGTTGGATTGAGACAAAAAAAAGTGTACGGATGAGAAATATATATTAATAAAAAAATCATAAAATAGTCATTTTAGGGCTGCAAAAGCAAATGATGTTGGTTTGGGAAGAAAAAATAATGAGCTAATAAAATAGGTACAAAAAGAGACGATTTTTTTTTTTTAAGAAAAAGATTACATGAACACATGGACCAAAAATGTAGCTTACTCACAAAGAAAAGAAAAAAGCAACCAATATACAATTAACATTTCTAATCACCATTTAATGCTATCTTCTTATACAACAAAGAATATGGGAAAATTCCTCCCTAAAATTCGATCACCTTGCTAAATGACCCCCATAAATCTACAACTTAACCCTAACCCTAACATTTCAACACTTTAAAACAACTAACATACTCAAAAATAAATCAACATTACACTTGGCCAAAAACTCGATTAAAACACCCACAGAATGTCTCTCTCTCTCCCTATTTTCGACCATCTTTTTTGCATTTTCACAAGTTGATGATTTATAAACACAATGGGCTTGAACTTGTACTCATAATTATGATTAATTAACCTGAACTCTCACATGAGCTCCCATGATTAGTCGACAAATCATGAACTAAAAGCCTGATTATGTTGCACCCTGATGACATTGACAACTCCACACATTCTTGCAAATCTGCATCACATACTACAAGAACCCATTCATGATCATCATCAAGATACTTGATATCGAAAGTACCCACATCCAACTTCAACCTCTTTCCAACTTCTTCTTTCAATGTCACTATACCCGAATTTGCACCCACACGAAACCTAATTATGTCTTCTCTGTAAGTCGCCTTTATTGTTATTGTTTTCATTTCAGTCCTTGCTGTGAAGGGTTGTACCTTTGGGCTAACTTCTTGTACCTTTTCAAGAACCTCAGTGGGTTGACAAAGATTTGTGAGATCATGTGAGCTTCCAGCATCCTCAATTAGCATTCCTCTAAACGGTTCTTCAGTTTGTGGTGCTATAAGCCCTTCAAGATTCGGTGCTTTGACTTCAAACAGTTGACTTTCTGCTATTCCCACACATTTCTGATTATGAGAAACTGTTTGATCATGATTTTATGAGGAAAGATTTGATTTTGAGAAAAGGGTTACCTTGACATGACCTGTGGGAAGTCGGGCTGCCCGTGCTTGCTTCTCTGCTGCCCGATGTTTGATGGGTTTGACCTTGATCGTTCTTTTGAGATGGTTTTGACCCGGGAGACCCATTTTGGGTAGTTGGTGACCCGTTTGGAGCTGTGGGCCATGATGTGGAGTCAACACCAATGGGGAGTGGGGTGGTTGCTAATGAAGGAATTGTGAATGTTCCTTCACCTCCTTGAACTGATTCAATCACCCGTTTTAGCTTTGTAAGTGAACGGTTGACTTTGTTGATCTTTCTTGAAGGCCACCTTGAAATCCCATGTTGTCTGCATATTCTTTTCATTGTAGTGGGACAAACTGCAAAATCAATAACAATCTTGATTAATAACACATTACTCTTTGCTCATTGACTTTTTCAGGTCAAACTTGCTCCTTTCAAAATCTTGATTTCATACAAATATTGCTAAGAATTTAACATCCATGTTGTTATATCGGTAGTATTTGACATACTTGTAAATGGGTTGTTTTCTTTTTCTTAAAAACTCAAAGATTTCGGAAGAATTTTAAAGTTGAAAACTCGATAAGTTGACTTGTTTTACATAATTTAAATTCAGCATCTTTCTAACCTTGTGCTACCAAAGAAGGTTAACAAAGGTGTGAAATTTCCATAAAAAATATTTAAAAAAAAAAAAAGAAAAGTTTCATACCACCAAGATTCTTTGCAGCATCTTTAAGACTTCCTGCAAAGTGTTGCTGAAGGACTTCCAAGCTAATCGATTTCTCAGCTTTCCCTCGTTTTCTCTCGGACTTTTTGGTAATTTCCACATTCTCTGATTTCCCACAATTTCCATTCAACGCATTGGGCCTGACCAAAGCATCAACACAACCCACTGGGCCTCCATTTGATATTAAAGATTCCGATAACCGAATCGAGTGAACCCCCGAATCAAGAACATCGCCTTCTTCACATGCTTTAATAATTTCAACCATTCTCCCATCTTCCCCTATTTCTTCCCCACAAGCGACCTTAAGACTCCTAAAATGCTGCTTCATAGAAGTCAACAAAGATCCCAATACTTTCTGTTGATCTTTAAACTCCACCACATTAGGAGGAAGAAAGAACTCCAGGATATAATCATCATCGCCCGTATGACTACTCCTCAAACAAATTGCAAAAGATCCAACTAAACCAAACATACGCGCATAATGAACCAAAGGGTATTCGGTTTTTCCAAAATGCGTTATATTTTCACAAAAACAAGAACTTCGTGTAGCAAACGCCCTTCCAGCTACCCCTTGACCCTTTTGTAAATGATGTTCAGCACACGCTTCACGAAATCCCCACATATGAGCATCGACAACATAAAAGGCGACATCGGTTGTTGACATGCATACTTGACCCATACAACTTCCATCGAAACTGCTGCAACTTTTCTTGAATCCACCACCATAGGCTAGAACACTTCGATGCCTACATGGGACCCACGTTTGAGCTAATGGGAAATTATGAGTCTCGCATACGACTGCTAATATCTCCAGGATTTCAGCTAGGGCTTGTTGTCGGCTTTCGTTGCAAATCTGAGTTAAAGGAAAAACTAGGTAGAGATTGAGAAAAATGTAGAGGGAAAGATTAGGGAAATAAAATAAAAGAAAACAGAAATATATTATTATTATTTCATCTTACTGCTTGCCTGCGTATTCGGAGGATCCAATATATCTGAACTTTTCAAATTCACCGCCTGAAACAAAACGAAAGTTCAGTAATTTATGGAATTTGGGTATATGTTTGGTTGGATGGAATGGAATGATGAATAAATGGAATGGAATGGGAAAGGTAATGGAATGAGTCATTACATTCCATGATCATGTTTGGTAGTCCCATAGAAATGGAATGATCTTTCATATACAAGTTATAGTTTTATATTACAATTTTTTATTCCATTCAATGAAGGAAAAAAAAAAAAAAGAGTAAAAACAAAATCATCAAAACCGGGTGGTCTCATTTGACCAATTGACCATTTTTTTGACTTTTTAATAATATGAACATCTATTTCATAATGAGGTCAATTGTGAATTGCAAAGTTGCATTATGAATGGTCCCACCACTAAAAACATTTTTTTTTTTTAAATATTATATTGAGAAATTTTTTGGCAGTAAAAGTAATTTCACAATTTTTATTGGAATTTCAGAATTGACCGATTGCCAAAATAGGTGGTCATTTTGTTATTAGAATGTGAAAAAGATGGTAACAAAGTGGAAGGAATTAGATTCCTTCAAGAATGGTCCATTCCATTCCATCACGCAAAACAATCACCTTTTTTCATTCCATTGGAATGTTTTGTTTTCCAATGGAATAAACCATTCCATTCCTTCTTTGATTCTTTCATACCAAACACCACCTTAGGGATCATGGATTATGCATTACAAGCATCATTGATTTTGATGGTGTGCAATTTTTCAAAACACATTCATTATTATTCATATGATATCATACCTCGAGTGCTTTGCAGACTTTATCAACCTCAGGGGCATAATTTATCTTCTGTGAAGTCAATATCAACTCAAGAACACCAACACAGGATTGGCCAGAAGGTTCAAAAACAGGCAAAGCCAAAGTCCCACGAACATTATAATTCAGAGCATGATTAAGCCTTTGATATTCTTTGTCTGAATAATACTGCACATTTGGAGTCCATTCTGGAAGCTTATGTCTAAAAACACGAGCAGGAAGCCCAAGGACTTCATCAGTTTCACCATCAAGAGAGAACACATACATTAAAGAAGCCATTCTGTATTGATGAAGACCCGTGCAATTTGGGTCAAGCACAAAGGGTTGACCAGATGTGGTCAACACGTTTCGACCCCGGTTTTTCACAGGTGCCCATACTTGAGCAAGAACATGTTTTTCACCAAGTTCTATGAAGTATCGAAGTGCCATTGTCATTCTTTCTTTGATTATGCATGTTGCATCTTGATATTCTGATGGATTCACATCCAAAATGGGTAATGGGAGCCTCCTTTTTATATCATTGTTTGATGGTTTTCTTGTTACTTGATCAGGGTTATCTGTATCCACTTCAAAAGATTAAAAAAAAAAAAAAAAAGTTACATTTTTTTTTCATAACAATATGTTATTCGTTAATTTTTATTATATATCATCAAGTTTCAATAGTATGTGGAAACAAGAAAAGTAGCACCCTTTACACAAAAAAAAGGATAAGAGAATAGTTGAATTCATACTTCATATGATCATATCCAAAAAGCTCAATTTATATTCCAAATCTTCCAATTCCATAGCTGGGAATCAGAATCAAAGAATTTAACCCCTTTAACTTTGGAAATGAGATTCCAGTGTCAATATAAAACAAAATATACCATGCTCTTGAACACTATAAAGTTACCATTTATGCGTCGAACACTAACAAAAAGGTGTATTTTTTACATCATTTTCTTTATGAAAAAAAATCTCAATCTTTCATATTGTGAACCCCATCTTTATTATTATTCTCCTTGCATCAGGTAAATAAACTCATAATAATCACATCTTCAATTTCTTTCTGAGATCGTGTATATGTGACCCACAAGATTGAAATCAGTGAACAGAAATGGAGTCTTAATCTAAGTACGATAGAAATGTGAAATGTCTAAGACTTGATAATAATGGTTAAACACAAATGGAGTCTTAATTAATCTAAGTAATTGAGCAGCTTTCAGTGACATGAACGAAACATATATAACTAGATAAGGTTTTGATTCATGTTCGACTTCCGATTCATCAAAAACTACATTAAACTATTTAAAAACATGTTTAAAACTTTCATCGACATACTTGATTGGGTTCCTATATTCAAGGAGATTTATGTGGTACTTATTCTCTTGCCAGATGTGGAATGAATGGCCAAAATCCGTTTATGTTTATCCGTTAGTGATGAATTCAAATTTATTAGCTACAATCTTAATACCTAATAGCCAAATACTACATCAAATCTTCCATGGTCATATAAAATCGAAACAAAATCCAATTTTAAGCAAAACCCATATATAAACTCACTTAAAAATGCACAAATTAACTCAAACTTACCTGGAAGAAGTCGGTGAGCAGCTCCGGAAGAGGTCAACGTGGCATTTCCGGCGGGTTTATCGTCACCGTCGTTGATGTTGTTGTTATTATCGTCGGAAAACGCCCACAGAGGAGAGAAAGATTGTTCGGTTGCTGATAGAATAAACGACGGCGAAGGGTCCGACGAGAAGATCTGATCGAAAGTCCAGGAACCATCAAGGTCGAGATCCATGGTCATCATCACCGGTAACTCTTCCGTCGCCGGAGGCCCCCTTATAAAAAAATTACTCGACCGGTTTTCTTCTTCTGATTCCGGCATTTTAGAAGAGTTTGCAGATAGGAATGGAGAGAAGGGTATGGACTTATGGTGTTGGTGATTCCAATGGAACTGGAATCTAATAGTTGGACTTCCCTACTTGCAATCTTACTTTAAAGTTTTAAACTTTTAGCAAAACAGACACAAAAATAGCTAAAGAATTTGTAAGCCGTGATCCACTTCTCCACAATTGTCGGGTCCACATCAAATTCACAACTCGGTATTGATTTAATGATTTATAATCAATGGTACATTTTATGTCTTTTTTTGTATTAATGAAATTATATTAATTTGTAAATTATAATCATTGGTTTGTCAAGATAGGATCATTTTGGATATTCGTTATAAAAAAATATCTATTAATTATTTAATCAAATTATATTATTTGAATAAAGTAATTTTAATTTTAATTATTCACATATCATGCAACAATAATGACGTGGCATTTAAGAACTTCGTCCATTTTTTAAAAATAAAGATCGACACAAAAGCCTAAGAGTTTGTCAAAAATTGATCTGTTGTATTTTAAATAAGAACTTATGTATGTCAAAAAAATTGATCTGTTGTATTTTAAATAAGAATCTATGTATCATAAAGTCTAACAGTTAGGAGGTTTTTATTATAAATACATTTAATCAAGTAATCATTCGCTTATCGAGATAGCATTGTATTATCAGAGGATAATATGGTAGTGTTTAAATGACTAGAATGTCAAGTAAACAAACACACCTAACCTAGTCTTTCGTTATCATGGTTACCATAATCAAAGTAAAAAAATATCTTTGTTTTTTCTTGTATGAACTACAGACATAAAACGAGAGGGAATGGGAGTGGTTTTAAGACTTGAAAATTTGTACATACACACACACACGTGCACACACAATTTCATCATCGTATACTTACCTTCATCATAATTAATCCTATCATAAATCATATTCTGATACCTATAATTTTCTAAGTGTGTGTTCATCCATGAACTTTAAAATCATAGATGTATGATTGTGTCTTCAAAATCATCGATTTTCAAAATCCTACATATTGTTTTTTAGTATGTTTTCCTTTAAGAGATTGATTCGTTTTCTGATAAATCCACCTTAAACCCACCAATTTTTTGATTATATATTAGAAAATAATTACCCATGAGTAACTCTAAAATGAAAATGAAAAAACATTGCAATTGGAATTAACCTTTTTTTGGAGATTCATGAGCGAAAAAAAAAGCTCACAAACATGCACATACCATATGCATTAACCGTTTACAAAGCAATCAATATTTGTAGGTTTGTTAGGAGAAGTTAACACACACTTCATGAAGGAGAAAACCAAAAAATCGTAGATGTATGATTGTGTCTTCAAAATCATCGATTTTCAAAATCTAGCATATTGCTTTTGAGTATGTTTTCATTTAAGACATGGATTCGCTTTCTGACAAATCCACATTCAACCCACAAATTTATCGGTCATGAATTAATTACCCATGAGTAAATCTAAGATGAAAAAAAAAACATAGCAATTGGAACTAACCTTTTAGAGATTCATAAGGGAGAAAACTAGAGAAGCACAAAAACGTGAACATACCATGTGCTTTAACCGTTTACAAAGCAATCAAGATCTGTAGGTTTGCTTGGAGAAGTTAACACATGCACTCCAAAATCTACTTACATGTTTGTTTGGAGAAGCTCTTTTTATCTATCTCTCTTTCTCACTCACTTACTCACTTACTCACAACCGATTTGTTACCCATGTGGCCCTTCTTCAATTGAAAACGAAAGGTGATTTAAATATGCGGCTGCACTGGCATATCTCTTTGAAATTTGAAGAATAAAGTGAGTTTGATTTTATTGATGAGAATGATTGACCCAAAGGGGAATTCATTAGGTGTTCAGTTTTGCACGTTGCTTAGGCTTCCTACATTCGGTCATCATTTTTTCTAACAAAATCAAAGAAAAAAAATGAGGAGCAAGGACATCATAAGAAGAAATCGAGTAGTGATCATAGCTAATAAGTGGTTCCATCTTCAGTGATATCTTATTAACCAAATCTACCATCATCCTTATCAAAATCTGGATGGAAGAAATCAGGTCCCCCCCCCCTGTTCCTTTATATTTCTCTCATGGATGTATGTGTTATATACAATTTCTTCTCCATTTAACCATATGTCTCTTATACCAATGTCTAGGTTGTGGAAGAAGCTTTCTTTCTTTATTATTATGATATTTGGAGTTGTAGTTATGGAGGAATGAGACTTTATGCATTAATGCCTTTTATCTTCCATGTTGCTGTCTAATAAATCAGGGTTAGCGAGAGTGTAACGACCCAATTTTCACATCAAAATTTTTTTTGTTTAAAAACGTTACTTTAGAAAATATTAATAGCTAAAACATCATTCGATCATCCATAATATAAACTGAACCATGTCCGAACACCAAAACATACAACTAATCAGAATATCAGAGTATCAATCCAAGAAAAGCTCGTAAATGCGGAAACCGAAGAGGGTGTGTGTGACATGCTGCTACCGCGCCGGCTCCTTTCCCCTAGTTGAGGAGGTACCTGAAACCAAAACTGAAACCATAAGCACAAAGCTTAGTGAGCTCCCCCATAATACCCCATACCATGAAAGCATTTAACAAATAACATGCAATTAGGAGATACGGGCCCCGCCCACACTCGTGAAGATACGGGCCCCGCCCACACTCGTGAAGATACGGGCCCCGCCCACACCTCACTTTCTGAGAGATACGGGCCCCGCCCACACTCGTGAAGATACGGGCCCCGCCCACACTTCGCTATCTGGGAGATACGGGCCTAGCCCACACTCCATTCTCGGAGAGATACGGGCCTCGCCCACACTCAACCGCCAACTCTTATCATACAAGTATCGCACAGACAACAAGTAAACAATTCTATCATACTGACATATATCATAATCAACTCAACTAAGAGATACGGGCTCGGCCCACACTCTAATACTAACGTCTCATCTATACGGGCCGGCCTTGGTGCCTTAGACCCATTACTACTGGAAGGAAACTCACCTCGAAATAGCTGCTGGTCTGTGTGGGAATTGATCACCTACTACTGCTGCTGCTGCTCCGGAAACTCCCCGGCTGTAATTCCCACAATATACTTAATCATACACTGCTAACTGTCCTTTGGGTAAAAAGACCATTTTACCCCTGGTCTAGCCCTAAGTCAAATCGAAGTCAACTTTTAGTTGACCCAACTCGCCGAGTGGATCTCCACTCGCCGAGTCCCTAGCAAACTATTGTCCTGGTCCCTGATTCTACTCGTCGAGTTGGGCTATGACTCGACGAGTTCATCTTCTAAACTGTCATTCAACTCCTTCATCCTACTCGCCGAGTTGTATGAACAACTCGTCGAGTTCATCTTCATCCGAAGAACACATATGCTAAGACTCGCCGAGTTGTATGAACAACTCGCCGAGTTTGTTCTTGATCTATGAAGATTGCCTTGGACTCGCCGAGTCAGGGCATTGACTCGCCGAGTCCTATCATGAGTGAGTTCAGCTTCCAACTCACCGAGTCACCCCTGTGACTCACGGCTCAACTCGATACATCTTAAAGGGACCAGTTCAGTGACTCGCGACCAGACTCGTCGAGTCACATATATGACTCGCCGAGTCGCAGCCATGCATCCATCAAATACACCGATTTGCTCGATTCCAGTCCATGCCATTCACAGATCTGGGCTTCTAGGACACAATTCACACGTAAAGTTTCCAACTTTACGTGTAGATATTCACCAATATGGATTTTAAGGCTCAAAGTGCACCAAAAGAGGTAGATCTAGGGCTTTCATGCAATATGACCCCATAAAGGCAATAGATCCAAGCTCCAGGGACTAAATCATGCCTAGATCTAAAGGCTAACAACTTATTATCACCCACAAAGCACAAACAAGCTTGGGGAAGAGCCCAAGAAGGACTCCAATGAAGCAAAAAGGGATTACAAGCTTGAAAACAGAGGGGAAACGAGCTATACCTCAAGGAATATGTTGAAATGACACAAAGATGCCTGATCTCCTTCTCCTCTTCTTGATCTACACCTCTTTCTCCTCAAAACCTTCAAGAACACACCAAGAGTACTTCAATCTCTCAAGGATGTAAGGGAAAACGATGTTGGGGAGTTCTGGGGGGTGAATGGGGACGAGTTGGGGCGGAATGAGGGTTTAAATAGGGTGCAAACCCTTGAAACTTAGGGTTTCATCCAGCAGCGGTGACTCGCCGAGTCCAGGATATGGACTCGCCGAGTCGCCCACTTAAACGTGTCCTGAGTCTCGTCCCTACTCGGCGAGTCGGACCTTATGACTCGCCGAGTCCAAGGCTAAAATAGGGCAATGCTCAAATAAAATTCACATACCGGAAACCAGGTGCTACAAATCTCCCCCACTTATTTTAGACTTCGTCCTCGAAGTCTGCTGCCCGGTCCTGAAACAGCTCGGGGTAATGCTCCATCATCTCGTCCATCGGTTCCCAAGTCCATTCTGAACCCTTGCGGTGCTGCCATTGCACCTTTACTAGTTTTATCCTCTTGTTTCTCAAAGCCTTTGTCTTTCTGTCAAGTATTGCGACTGGGCGCTCAATGTAATTCAAGCTGTCATCAACCTGAATATCCTCCAATGGTACTACTGCTGAATCGTCCACCAGGCACTTCCGCAGCTGCGAAACATGAAAGGTGCTGTGGATCTGACTGAGCTCGGCTGGCAGGTCCAGCCTATACGCCACCTTGCCCACCCGGGCTGCGACCCTGAACGGCCCGATGAATCTTGGGCCCAACTTGCCCCGCTTCCTGAATCGAATGACACCTTTCCAAGGCGACACTTTCAGGAGAACCATATCCCCGACTTGGAACTCCAAGTCGGATTGACGCCTATCGGCGTAGCTTTTCTGCCGACTCTGTGCAGTCTGAAGTCTGCTCCGAACCTACTGGATCCTCTCGGTCGTCTCTAGCACCACCTTGGTGCTTCCCATGACTCTCTAGCCAACTTCACCCCAACATATCGGGGTTCTGCACTTCCGCCCATACAACATCTCGAACGGTGGTCGGTCAATACTCGCGTGATAGCTGTTGTTGTAGGAGAACTCAGCCAAGGGAAGATAGGTATCCCAGCTACCACCGAAATCCAACACACACGCCCGCAACATGTCCTCCAAAGTCTGGATGGTCCGCTCACTCTGACCATCTGTCTGCGGGTGAAAG